GGAATGCAACCCACAGGGCTTCACCACCTCCTTCATTTTGCTCCTTCTCTCTGGCTGTCTCTGGGGGTCTCCCCTGCCCACCCCTATGTGCCCCTATGGCCTCAGGTCATCATTGCCACCCCATTCCCTCTCCTGCTCCTAGCACCAGTTCCTCCTGGCCTAAAGGTCTTAGCAAGAACTAGGGGTGCCCAGCAGACGTGGTATCCCTCTCATCCAATTTCTAGCCATGGAGGCTGATCATGGAGTGCCCGAACCTTCCCCGCCTCTCCCCAAGCAGAGCGAGGCTAAACGTCAGAAGAATTGACAATAGCTCCTAGATAAGGAGCCAAGGTACAGTTAATGGGGGCAGTGCAGGTAGTGAGAGGAGCACTGTTTTGGGAGCCCAGAAACTTGGCCTTTCTGCCTGCTGGTTTTTGTACTGCATGGCTCAGCCTCGGAGCCTCTGGGAAATTCTAGCCTGGGCTCTTTCACAGAATCGGGTTTTCAAGGAGATAACCAGGTGAACGTGCTTTGTAAACTGGAAAGCTTTGCGAACTACCCTAGGGCCAGCCCGGCTGGTGGGATGGGGCCTGTCTGTCCCCTTCATTCCCCAGGAGGCAGGTGCATTTGCTGCCCTTGCTGGTGTTTTCATTGCTGTGTCAGGGTGGTAAGGCCCCAAGTGGGGAACGCCTGGGGGGGGGGGCTCTTGCCCTCGGAAGGTTGGGTACAGCAGGATGGGGACACAACACAGCTTCTTTTTATTTTTAATATCTATTTGTATTGATTTCAGAGAGGAAGGAACAGGGAGAGTTCGAAAGATCAATGGTGAGAAAGAATCATTGATGGGCTGCCTCCTGCAGGCCCCACACGGGGGATCGAACCTGCAACCTGGCCGGGTATTGAACCTTGATCTTCTGGTTCATAGGTTGACGCTCAACCACTGAACCACCCGAGCTGGGCCCAACACAGCTTCTTAACTAGCGCCCAGGGCCCAGCGGCTGTGCCTCTGCCCCTTCCCCCGACTTGTCTCCTCCCTACAGCCCCCGCAGCAGCTTGGTGCTTGGTGGAGGCGGCCCTGCAGGGAGGGAAGGCAAGAATGCCACTGGGAGAAAGTAACTTCTTCACCAGTGCCCACTGCAGAGGTTGGACCCCAACCCGGGCGGGTGCTGCCACCTGCTGGCCGAAGGGGATGCTGCCCACTGGGGTGTAGGGCTGGGGCTCCAGGTGGCCTGGCTCTGGCTGTTCCCAATCTGTCCCAGGGTCTTCGGGGCCCCATACGTGGCCTAACCCTGTCATCACGCCCCTCGGGAAAGCAGGCCTTTTTCTAAGGCTACCTTGGGCGTGAGGAGGTGGTGAGGAGGGAGGCGTGAGGACAGGAAGTGGGGGTTGTGATGGGACCAGGGCACTGGGGAGGACCCTCCAGGTTGGCCATCCTCTGACATTCTTGCATCAAACCCAACAGACCGGGTCACAGAAGAAAGTAACTCTTTGGAATTTTTCAGTCTGCAAAGGGTTTTCATGGTCATTCATTAGGTCCTTTGACCTAAGCATCATGCCTACCTGATAGAAGACACAAGGGCCAGGAGGCCACATAAATAGCAGACAAGACCAGGTCCCAATCCCAGCTCTGCTCCTCCTGGAGGAGGCTCCGGGGTACAGTGGGCGGAATCCTGAAGCTTGGCCGCAACCCAAATCAGATCCCTCCACTTCTCTGGGCCTGGAATCGGAATAATCAATGTTATGTCACCTCTAGAGTGTGGCACATCTAGCCAAGTCCAACACATTCCAGGCATTCATGAAGAGTCGTGTTCTCAATGGCTGGGGTAATAGGACACTTTGTTACCTCAATGAGGGGTCCATACCTTTACCCCTCCTGCCAGGTCCCACTAAACCCAGGAAGCAGCTGCTTTCTGTCTTTCTCATCCTGCCCCGGCCCCACCCCGAAGCTCAGCATCTCCTGGCCCAGGCTTTGCCCCTGGGGGTTTGCGGTGAGTTAATAAGCTGGTCTCCGAGGTATGAGCAGCTCTGGGAAATGGGGTGCTAAATATGGCCACCAGAGCATTCACATTTGTCACACTCATTCCTGGCATTAATAGGCTGCTGGCCGGGGAAAGCTGATGTCTACACTGGTCTAATTGGCTTGGGGGAGGAAGATGGAGTAAGGGGGTGTGATGCTTCCCCGGCACCTCCACCTACCTCTCCCAGGGGCACACACGGACCTCGCTGGAATCCTCCTGGGGTCCCAGGAGAAGTCAGGGGGCTACTGTACCTTCTGGGGCCCAGGCGTCCGTGTGGGAGGAGGCCAAGTGGTATCAGCCAAGCCAGGGCACCTTCATTGGTCCATGGTGCTAGGGGAACAATGGCAGTGCAGGGTATTTCAGATCAACACTCTTTATTAAGCACCAACAGCGAGGCAGGCTCTGCACCAGGAAGAGATGAACAAGACAGTCCCTGCCCTCAAAGGGCTTACAATCTAGTAGAGAGACCAACCAGCTTTGGGCTGATTACTGTATTATGGATCCAGATAAAATATGATGGTGGTATCACAGAGCACCTAACCCAGCCCGCGGATTCAGACAGCCTGAGCTGGGAGCCAGTTATTGGGGGAAAACCACACACACAAAAACAATTCCAGGTGGGGGAATAGCACAGCGAAGGCACAGAGGTCAGAAACAGCCTGGTGCACATGGACTCCCAAGAGTTCAGGGCTAGGAGTACAGGGAACGGAAGGTACAGAGTGGGGGGAGGTGGTGAGCAGGGTAAGGGGAGGGCTGGACAAATGCCCAAGGGGGAGAGTGGGTCATCCCAGAAGAGGCCTGGCCTCTGCCAACTACCACGTTACCCACAGGGAATCCTCACAGCATCCTGTCCAAGGCATCAACCTAAGGGAGGGTCCTGTTTGAAGGTGGCAGCCCTTGGTCCAAAATGATTTGCCTGGTCCATGATGGAGGTTTGGCCCACAGTGGAGCATGTGCTCAGTTCCTCAGGCATGTCCGAGCCCGGGGAACCTCCCAGCTTTAAACACTGCTGGGCCACAGGGATAGTGTTCCTCACCCCCACCACAAGAAATTGCTAATAGTCTCCCACGGCTGCTTTCATGTCCCACTGTGGACCCTGTAAGTGGTTCTAGGAAGAGGAGCCCCAGGGCACGTCTTCCCACCTGCCAGGGAAGGTGGGAAGGAATATCTACGGACAGGGATGTTTCCCTGCCTCAGAATGTACACCAAAGAAGGGGCAGGGCTCCAGCATATATATATAGAGAGAGAGAGAAAGAGCGCGCTGAAGAGACCGAGAGGAAACAGGATGCATTCGTTACCTAGCTTCCTGGGGGATCCAGGCCTGGGGCTTCCTGTCTGGAGTGCCCAGCTAGGGGGAAGGCAGGAGGTAGCGGGTGAGCAAGTAGAGGAGGCTAACAATGCCGGCCAGGCCGGTGAGCACCCCGAGCCTCAGGGGCAGGTACTCCAGGGAGCGCTCCAGCTCGGCGTGCAGCAGGATGACCTGGCGTTTGGTGATGCTCCACTCGCCCGAGTTGTCTAGAACGTGGCGGGCCATGCGGGCTTTGTCCTTCAGGGGCAGCTGAGCACTGACCCGAGCCTCTGCGTCCTGGAGGTTCAGGTTGTTCCGTCGCATCAGGCGCGCCAGCTGCGTTTCCCGATCGCTAAGGACCCCACAAAAGGGCCGATCAGGCTTTGTAGGCCCCAGCCCCCCTCCCCACCAGCAAGTGAAGGGGGTGGGCAGCCCCTTCTCGCAAATCAATTTAGGGTCCCACAGACAGGGAAGGGGGCCTGGGAGCTCACAGGCTCCCCCCACCTCACCCTACGCTGTGAGGAGTCTGGTAGCGTGATGGGCTTCACATACACAGGGGAAAGGCTGCAAAAGCTGCTTCCTGCCACCTGGGGCCAATCTGCTTTCCCACCAGACCTGAGATTTCCTAGTTACAAGATGGGAGGGTTTGATCACCTACATCGGTGACCTTTACTGGAAGGCCTGTGCCTGCAAGCTCTACGCTTTCTGCACTTCCCCGGGGGCGGGGCCTGCCGCATCAAAAATAGCTTCCTGGGCCACCACGAGACCCCTCTCCCTGCTGCCCACTCCCACTCCCCATATTTAGAGCAAAAGGACCCTGCGGGAATGGTGGGTACTGTGCAGATGCCACCTGGGAAGAGGGACGGGCAAGCCCAAGATGCTTCTAGTGGAGCAAGGACTTGCAAACTGGACGCCCCAGTCCTTGGGACAGGACGCAGCACCGCACATTAAGCTGAACAACCCCAGTCTCCCCACTCCAAAGGGAATACAAAGATACTTCTTAGGCCCACTATGGTGTTACCCGGGTCCCCCCTCAGGAAACTCCCTGTCCTGCCTATGACTGCACGGGAACTGCCCGCTGTACTCTCACACCCCTCTAGCTCGTGACCACCCAAGCCCCCAACGGGTACAAAGGAGAAGGGCTGCAGCAGCTGCTTTCTGCCACTGGGGCCTCTGCTTTGCCACTAGACCTGAGATTTCCCAGTGATACGATGGGATGATAGATCACTATAACTTGGTCCTCTCTTAGGTCTGGCCTACACCAGAGAGCCTCCTGGGATGTAAAGACAGACCTAAGGACAGATATGACCTGAATACTAGCCAGTTCCATTCCGATTCCACTCAAAATGCCGAACAAAATGCTGCAGAAAGTCATTTCTGGCTGGATGATCAGGGAGACCTTTCAGCAGAGACGGCATTAGTAATGGCCTTGAAAAGTAAGTAGGACTCTGATTTCCTTTGTTATGGGGACAGCGTGCTGTCAAGGTCATGGGGCCAATCCCTGCCTGGCTGAGAACAAGAGCTATATCCAACCTTAGAACTACACCGAACAAGAATCTCTCTGGTCTAGGGCTGGGAAAATGGAAGTGGCTTAGGGACCCCTGAGTGCCCATCCTTTGGAGGGCTTCTTAGAATGTGACCCAGAAATAATCCCATGTGGATAGTTTAAGGATTAATGCTATTTGTAGTAATGAGATTTCTACCAAACACTTACTGGGATTCCACATCATGCTTTGGCAAATGCCCCATACTATTTCAAACGCACCAGGATTAGTGTGACAGGTAAAGGAATCCATGAGGGGAACCTCATTTGTAAATTTACATGGCAAAGTGTAGATCCCTTTTATGAAAAGCAAATAATTACACTCATTTACTTATACCTCTGGCATCTCTTTTGAGTCAGACACCCACATGTGCCAACATTGGGGCATGAACAGCACCCAGGACTGTGGCGAAGGTTCCTTGCTGGTAAGTGGGGCTGGGGGATCTCCAGGAGAACGGGAAGAATCTACCCAGCCCCATTTGTCCGCCAGGAACCATAGCCACCTCGGCCCTTAGCAAACAGACCAACCTCGAAGGAAAGTGCAGCAAGAGGAAGGCGGCAAGGGTAGGTGATTGCAGATGCCATCTCTTCTCTCACCTGCACTCAAGACCCTTTTTACTTGGATCCCTTGGTACAAAGTTCCAATTGTATTAAGACTCCAAGGCAAGAGAATTCCAAGTCTCCGTGGAGTTTGCTTGGCCTCAGTTGATAGTCTTTCACAAACGGGACAAAGAACCCAGAGAGGTTGCAGGTTTACAGGGGGAGACATGGGCCCAGGCGGGAGCCATGAGGAAGCCTGTGTCTCCGCACCAGGCTCAGCAGACTCGGGCGAGGTTTTAAATGACAGTCTACGGTGGGGAGCTGGGGGGCGGTGGGGAGCTGGGGGGCAGGGTGATGCTCAGGGCACTGAGCACTCGAGGCCCCATCTCTAGTGTTCCAGAAACCTCCCAAGCATTGGTCTCTGAGAGCCACTCAGTGCCAAGCGCCCGCAGAGCCAAGTGCCCACCCTGTGTCTGCTCTCCTTGTGGGCGGCATCTGGGAAGTTTCTGGGAGACAGACTCATCTCTGCTCTCACCCCCCTGGGACTATGACTCATTTTTTTCTAACAGTTTGATCCTCCTCTGATTGTCAAACCTGGATTCGGGTTTGCTTCATATCCTGGGGGTTTCTGAGAACAAAGCTCCTTCCTTAGCTGGGCTCTGACAGTTCGCTCTCTGCAACTTTCCATCCAGAGGTGTTGCCAGTGGGGGACCTTGGACAAATTCTGTTACCTCTCCCCGTGTATACCGCCCCTTCCCTCCCCTGCACCCTCCGCCACACACACACACACACACACACCACCACAATGTACACCGCCCCTTCCCTCCCCGGCACCCCGTCACACACACACACACACAGTTTTTCTTCTATAGCGCAGAAGTATCAACCTGAATACTTCACACTGCAAAGTAAATTGGGTGAAGTAGTAAGGGTGGGAACCGTTTGGAAAATTGAGAAGTGCTGGAGGAGGGAGAAGGGATCCAGTGACTAACAACATGGTAGCCCAAGGCAAGGCTTGGAATCTGGGCTGAAGTGCCTCCAACAGCCAGCAGGGGGAGCCCTTCCCAAGCACTAGAGAAGCCTGGGGCCCATCCCTTCCTACCCCTTCCCCAGGGGGCATATCTGGGTCAGACACAGAGATGGGTTTCCGTAGGCTCTGGGCACTGCTGCCCCTACCCCCTGTGCTTCCGGGCCGCCCTGTGGGGAAAGGGCACAGTGATGTGGGCCATTTCTCAGGGACATGCCTTCCTCCAGGGCTCCTCCATCCTAGCCTCAGTTAGGCCAGGCAATGCCACACACTCACCAGTACACCACCACTGTGTGCTTCATGTACTTGAGCAGTTTCTTGGTCTCAAACAACAGAGGGATGTCCAGAATCACGTAGCGGTATCCTGGAGAAAAGGGGGGAAAGCCACAAGGTCAGGTCTGCAAGCACACACTGAGGACTTACTATGTGTTAGGTGTGGGAACTGAGTTCGCCACTGGCTGCTTCCATTGAAAGCGCCCCAAAGAGGGGGCGGCCTTCCAAGGATAGGCATAACCTGACAGCCAGCAGGTTCCATTCAGAGCAGAATGCGGCACAAAGGTGTTTTTGACTGGATGAGCAGGAAAGACCTTGCAGAAGGAATGACGTTTGTACTGGCCTTGCAAGGCATGTAGGACTTCTGATACCTGAAAATGAATGGGTGAAAGTGAGGGTTCCAGGAATGGGGACCACAAATCACAAGGAAAGCAAGGTCCTATTGCTCCGGCTGAAGGGGAGGCCTGGAGCAGTGTGAGGCAAAACTGACGAGATGGTCAGGGGGGCACAAAGCATTGAGTTCACCTTGAACTTGAATCCAGAGTTATTTCTAGGAAGGGAAATGGCACAGCCAAAATTATAGGAGACTGGGGAGAGTTTCCAGGAGTGACTGGGCCCTTTCTGCCCTGCTTCAGCCACTTGTTTAAAAAAAAAGTTCTTCCCCAACAGCCAGGTCCAAGCCGGGCTCCCTGCTGCAGAGTCCCGTATGGCTCTACCAGTTCTCCACGAGAGACTCTCCTGGGGGTGACAGCAGCAGCCCCGACAGGAAAGACGCTGCTTCTTAGGGTCAGAGGCAGACCCCCAGCCTGGGAATGCAGGGGTGGGACTGGAGGTGCTACGGTGGTTAGGCTAAGACTAAACTAACTCCAGGGGGACAAAGGCACTGGCTGGCCCTCCTGCTACAAGCCAGGGCCAGTCAATGGTGGCACCCTCACCCACTGTGAGTGGGCACATCCCTGGCTGCCCACCCAGTGATACTGTGGGCTCCACACTCTTAGTTCTCTTTATGCCAGTGAGCCCGGTGTAGGTGTCATAAAGCTGGCGGGGGTCCAGGAGCCGTAAGAGGAAGGAACAGGCCACTGCTCTGCCTAGAGACCCCGGCCTGGCTTGGATGGTGTCCCACTGCAAACACTTGCGCCTGCAGAACCAGACACACATCACACACCAGTTCCACGGGTATCAGGGGTGATGCAGGGAACAGTGACAACACAAGCTACTGGGTTTCCTGCTCCCTAGGATCTATGGCTCAGGAAACCTCCTACTCAATAAGGGGTTAAAAGAATGGGCTCTGATAACACGCCTGGGTTTGAAGCGCCCCACTCTCTCACCATGTCACTTTGGGCCCCTTAATAAACCTCATCTGTGTAAATGAGTGAAAAGACTGCCTACTTCACAAGAAGATGGAAGGATTAAATGAAGGCAGTCATGTAGACCACATCGCACCCCCTCACCCAGACCCTTATTAAGTGCTCCATAAATGATGGTTATTATGACTACTGTTCTCTGAAAGGGGAGGCCTGCAGTACTGGCTCCCCCGCTGCCCCTCCGCCCCCAAACTCAGAACAGGAGCCAGGGCCAGATCCTCTCTGGGCCTCTTATCTCTCTTTCCTGCTCTGCTCCCATCCCTTCCTCTCCCCTCAATGCCCTTTCTCCTCTGCCCCTCTCGGGAGCTCACGGCCAGTTCTTTGGTTCACCGGCAAAAGGGCTTTCAGCTGTCACATCCCTCCTGCTTGATAAGCTCTGCAAACTATCCTGACTCTATTAAGACATCCGCCTGCCTACACAGAGACCTCCCCAACAGCTGGTGATCTTATCTGACGTTTGATTATACCAACTCTGACAGTTGTATTTGTTACAGTCATCAGGGAAAAGCTGGGACTGTGGAAGCCACAGCTGTCGTCCCCATTTTTCACCTTATCGAGCTGAAAAGAGCTTTCTGGCTTTTATTTAAGTGGTGGTGGCTGGCGAGGGGGGAGGCTGGGTGGATGACACCGCGGGAGGACTTTGGAGCAGGTGACATTATCCGACTTAATTTCATAAGGGGAAAGCCACTGTTCTCTCAAAGCCCTGCAGATGTACTTGCAACTGGCCTGGGAGTGAACGCGAAAGGGCACAAATGAAAGGCAGAGGCTTCGCGCCTGGTGGGGGCAAGAGGGGATCCTGGCACAGACACAAGAGGCAGAACAGAAAAGGAATCTAGAGACTCTCCTTGAGGAAGAAGGGAGGGAGGAAGGGAGGGAGGGAGGAAGGGAGGAAGGGAGGAAAAAAGGAAGGAAGGAGGAGGGAGGGAAGCAGGCCTGCGGCAAGGTACTGAGATGCAGAGCAAAAGCTGGTCCAGCAGGGAGGATGCACCATGGATGTCTGTGAAGTCATCCCTTTCCTCTGGAGAAAGGTTCTGGCCAGACAGGGGTGGGTTCCCCACTCTGTACATGAGAACTTGATGCCTGAGAAAGTAAGGGATTTGGCCATGATCACAGAGCAAAAGCTAGAAGGCAACCTAGAAGCCTCGCTCAGACGCTCCAGGAAGGAAAGTTTCGGCATCATGACTGACAGCGGGGAGACAAGCAGCCAGGCCTTCAACACTGAGACGCAGACTGGAGGCCACATGTGCCAAAGGCTGCAGGGGCCCTAGCCTAGCCTCTCACCTGATCCCAAGCCACTGCTCTCTGCTCACCCACTTCTCCTGGTGACCGACTCCATCGTGGACAGTATTAGGTCCCCCTGCCCAACACCGTCCTGAAGAACAGGACCCGAACTGCGGCCTCTGGTTGGGGAAAGGTTAGCAACAGCTGCGGAAGGTTCCTGCCAAGTGACCACAGACCCTGCTTTTCAAACCTCTCCTCTTCTTTCAGTCCAGCAGGCACCTGGCTGCGTGTGCACACGCCAGGCTATCTCCACTGGGCCCTGCCTCTGACCCTCAGAACCCCTCCCCCACCTGCCCTGGCCATCCTGGGTCCTCTCCAATTTCCTGTCTGCTAACTCACTTTCCCAGGAGGCTTGACTAGCACCAAATCCGACTCTGACTGTGGTTTCTTTTTGTGGGGTGATGGACAGTCACTGACGTGGGCTCTTAGTCACCCTAACAGCTCTGCAAGGTTGGCATTATTAGTCTCACGATGCAGATGAGGAAACAGGCAGAGGGGTTGGCTCATGGACAAAGCCAAACAGCTAGAAACGGTGAGGGCCAGGCCTTAAACTCAGGTCTTATGACCCCATTATTCATCAGCTGTTATTACTCCCATCCCTGCTAGAAAAATCAACTCCCTTCCTGGGGATCATGGCTCAGAAGGGTCTCTTCTCATTAAATTGTCAACCTGAGAGAGAGTTGAGGGATATGTGCTCCTTTCCTCTGGGACTGGTATGGGGCTCTGCATAGGGCGGGGCGGGAGGGGGCACGGGGTGCCAATACTGTGAACTCTACAGCCTTTCTGCAGAGGAGAAGGGCCCTGGCCCTGGCCCTGGCCCTGGCCGGAGAGGGCTTCGCCCACACCTGTCCCAGGCCCTGGGTCTTACCCCGAAGGAAGTACTTGAAGGTCTCCTTCATCATTTCCTTGCGGATCTCAGGGTGAGTGATGGTGTTGAGCAGATGCCGGCGGTCGGGCTGGTTAAAGATCAGGTCCCCCAGGACCTTGCGATTGATGTCTCCATTCTCCAACAAGACCTCAGTGCCAAAAGCCTCCACGATGCGCCGGTGGGCGGGGTATCCCGGCTGGACAACTGTGGCAAGAGAGGAAGGCTGGGTCATGCTTCGGAGCCGCTGGGCCAGCCAGAGGACCCTAAACAACTAGAGGCAAAATGATGGGGGAGACCAGGGTGCTCCTTTCAATAGAAGCAACAATGAAATGAGGGGAAGGAAGAGAGCAAAGTGCACAGAGTCCCTCAAGTTGGTCACGGGGTGAAGTGAAGGCGGGAGACATCTAACGAGGAGATGGAGGAATAAAGAGAAAAGCGAGAGGACAAGCATGAGGCGGGGAGCAGGACCTCAGACAGGGACAAAGGAAGTCTTCCCCGACTCGGAGGCCTGGGAAGACCTTATAAAAAGGAAGCACAAGGGAACTGCCATGTGTGACCCCACAACGTGACCCCTCCACTCACCATGGCGGGCGATGACGTCAACATCAATCACTGCGCAGCCCAGCTGCTGGAACACCTGGAGCACTGAGCTCTTGCCTGAGGCAATGCCCCCTGTCAGGCCCACCAGGAACATCTTCCCAGGGACAGGCGGTCAGTGAGCCCGGAGTCCCAGAAGCTGGACAATCGCTGGAGTAGGCAAGCTCAGCCAATCAGGATGAGCCTCCACAGGA